GTGGTGCCTCGAGGTAAGAGAATTTGCGTATTTAAATAATTCACAAATTATCCATTTTAGAATATACCCAAAACCCCTACAACTGTTAGGTTAACTGATAACTCTAAATTGTCCCTAGGTGTGAGTGAGAGAGTGAATGGTTGTTTGTCTCGTTTGTCTCTATGTGTGGCCCTGTGATGGACTTGCGACCTGTTCAGGGTGACTGCTGGATATGGGCACCAGTGACCCACGCAACCCTAGAAAAGGAATAAATGGGTACAGATGATGGATGGATGGATATATGTACCCCTGGACCCCCCTAGAACTGATTCAGTCCACAGCTGCTGGTTAACATGATCAGGTGTTCTTCATGCTGACAGCAGGAATGTGTTTCAAATGAACTATATTGTTAACTATTTTTATTCGACAACCTGGATTCTAAAGGGGCTTCACCTGAAATCTTGCCACAGGGCTCCAAATTGGCTAAGATGGTAGTTGCTGAGAGTCATTTGCAACACAAAACCTACAATTTTTCATAAAATTGTGCAAAGTTTTACCAAAAAAAGGCTGAAATTCCTTTGTCAGCATAAAATATTTTTTCGACAGGTGATGTGCAATAGTTTAAGYAATGCTAGATCTTTAATAAGAAAATATGTTACAGCTACACTAAATAAACTTGATTTAAACAATGACAACACACTTTTCTCTTTGATTTTAAACTCTTTTGATCATTCAGAAACTTGATTGCAGTTGAATCTGGGTTAAAGATCTTTCATTTCCCGTTAGCCAGGATTRCTGTGGTTTATAATTAACTATTTGTTGAACTGAGGGATTTTCCAATTTTTTGAATAAGGTCAACAAAAGATAAGGCGTGTGTGCTTTTTCTTTCAAATGAATGTTTTCTAAAATGGGTGTTTCTTGTTTTGCGCAACATCCCATGCAGTTACCCTTTAGAAACGAGAAGCTTGTCAAGAAGAAAAACTTTCAACTCGAAACACAAAGATGAAGAAGGTTACTGTTCTGTKTCTTGCTCTTGGTTTCTGTCTGTGTGAGCCTGAAACCCAAAGAAGTCAGTGTTCAGGTCTAAGCGATTGTAACTCCTGTTCCCTTACATCCATGGCTGAGAAAATGGGAACACTGGTGGAGAAAGTTGGAAATATGGAAAATCAAATCAAATTTCTGGAGACCAGCCTTCAAAACACTGAGAAGGAAATCCTGGAGCTACGAAGCCTCACTGCAGGTAATCTATTGTCACGATGTTTAAGCAAATAGTTCCTCGTTCATTCTTTAATGTGTGATGTGTTGGTGTTTTAATGGTTCCAGGCAGACCTCAGGTGGCATTTTCTGCGGCTCTCCTGGATACTGGCAGTGGGAATACAGGGCCGTTTACCACTGCTGTTCCACTGAAGTATAAAAGAGTTTTCTCCAACACTGGCAACAGCTACAATCCAGCAACTGGTATGATCATTATAGAAAGAGATGGTGAAGGAAAGAGATCAATGTGAAACACATGGAATGCAATTTCAAAGTCTCTTCCAATATTTCCTATCTTTGCAGGTATTTTCACAGCATTGGTCGATGGGATGTACTTCTTTCGGTTCTCCATGTACAACAACTTCAATCCAGCTACCAACTCAGTTGTGTGTCTGAAGAAGAACAATGAAAGGCTGACGTCGGTCTGGGACACCTCAGCGGCTGACGCCAACGACATGGGCAGCAACGCCGCGGTCATCCCCCTGAAGGTGGGAGACACGGTGTACGTGGAGCTGCAGGCGAACAGGATGGTCTATGATGATGCTGCGAACTACAACACATTCTGTGGCTTCCTGCTCTTCACCACCTAATTCACTGGTCAAGATGTCTAAGAAAACAGTTTTGCGTATACAATTTCCAGTWAGCTTATTAGCTTAGCTTCCCTCAYGGTTGAGACTACATACGTCACGGCCAAACGTTAGCAATTAGGTAAATTGGATCCAATCATTTTAAACTTCAACAGAGACCACACCTCCAGCTAGAAATCATTTCTCAATAATCGAGAGTCCAGACCCTCTGTACGAAGCAAAGCGTAGGACAAGGTAACTCAACGTGTTCTCATAACTGATGAAAGCAAAGAGATTGCAGTTTGTAGTTTTGTTTCAGTGAGATCTGTATAATTGACTTTTTAAACATGTATGTAATCTTTCACCAAACTGACTTTTTACCATATACAGTATCTGTTAAATCATATTTGATCACATCAACCTGTTCAGGGACTGCAGGTGGAAATTAGCATTGATATAACCTGTTACGATGCATCTCTCCTTTTAAAAGGTTAATGAAATGTTGTATATTGTCTCTGTGTAAATAAAATAAACAGTAAACAATAATATAACCTGACCCAAAGAGTCATAAAATTAGACTTAGAATAGGTGGGCGTGGACGAAACACAAGRAAGCAAAAGAATAAAATGAACACAAAGAATGCCGAAAGTCAACACCATAAGAAAAAAAAGTCATGAACGTAAATCTCAAAACAGAAAACTAAACAATCAGTTCTTCAAAACCAATGATGCCTGTTTGATTTTTTTCTAGTCCTTTAATATGAACAAATATTCACAAAGTTTATGCATTTTTTTCTCATGCAAATAATTACAGTTGAAAACAATATCTGTAAGTGTACTTGTAGGCGYTTGACACAAAACCTGTTGTACTGCTTAATTTAACTGTTAACAACTGGTTATAGYATTTCTTGTAATATGATACACTTTGAACAGGTTTCAAATTGAAATCCTTAAAAAAGATCATAAATGTTAAATAATCTTTACTTTGTGTTTCAAACTGAGCTTAGGTTTATTTTCTGTCCAAAAAAAGCTCATTTTATTACCMTCTACAGCTTCACTTCACATTTAAAGGCACAGTGTGTAGGATTTTGTCAATTCTTTTAGCCGAAATTGAGATAATCACTAATGACAATAATAAAAAACATGTCTAATCATTGCAGACAAAGACCTTGTTTTATTATTTTTACCTTATAAAAAGCTGTTTATTTCTCCATGGTCACGGGTCGCCACTACAGGCAGCCGCCATCTTGTCTACGAAGGCTCATGAAGGACAAGCTGCGGTGGCGGCGTCAAAAACGGTTTTAGTTATAATACTGTAAATGTAATATTTGTTGTCTGTCATTGTAGCTGGGATAATTTTACCCATTAAAGCTCATAATCTTACCACTTGAAACATCACTAGCCCTGAAGC